GGGAGGAGGGAGATGAGGGAGGGGGGAGGAGGAGGACAGGAAGGAGGAAAGGTGAGGAGTGGAGGAGGAGGGAGGGAGGGAGGGAGGAGGAGGAGGAGGAGTGAGGAGGAGGAGGAGGAGGAGGAGGAGGAGGAGGAGGAGGAGGAGGATGAGAGGGAGGAGGAGGGAGGGGGGGGGGAGGAGGAGAGAGGAGGAAGGGAGGATGGGGCGGGAGGAGGGAGGAGGGGAGGAGGGGATGAGGAGGGAGTGAGGAAGGAGGAGGGAGGAGGAGGAGGAGGAGGAGGAGGAGGAGGATGGAGGGAGGAGGAGGAGGAGGACTGCAGTCCAAGTCCTGCCGAAGGCAGGGCAGTCTCCAGAGGCCTCCCAGATGGGGTCGGAGTGGATGGGGTCGGAGGATCGAGCCGCATCGCCGATGCATCGGCGATGCAACGGCGACGTCAGCGATGCATCGGCGACGTCAGCATTGAGAAAATTGGGCTCCACATCGAGCCGCATCGCCAATACATCGGCGATGCGGCGCTCGGAGGACCCCACCTACTCCGACCCATCTGGGAGGCCTAGAGTCTCACTTGGACGACCCAGCGTCAGGCATGCGGCCGGGGCACTCCGCCCGAGCCGAGACTTGCAGCGATGCTTCGGATCGTCGGAGCGCATCCCACTCTCACCCGCCCTCTCTACCCTTTCCTCCTCTCCGCGTGCGAGAACCTCCGTGAGAAAGCCGAGTCTGGAGCCAGTGCCAGGACTGGGGCTCAGACGTGGAAGCTCCTGCAAAAGAATCTCAAGATCTTCCCCCTCTGAGCTCCGAATCCCAACGAATCCATCTACGCTACTGGACAAGCATGCCAGAAGCGAAAAATTGTTTGCCAAAACATCGCCAGAAATTCAAATTTTCAAGTGCTGCGCCACACCAAGAAAACCGAAATCCTCTGCTGCGGAGCACCCGCCTGGGCTACTCCCCCTCTCCTCCCTCTCTTCCTCACTCTTTGAGCACGCACTGACTGCAAGGCCACCGTTCACCACCACCACCACCACCTCGTTCCCCCTCCCTCCCTGCCTCCCCCCGGTGCTGCCAGAAGCGTCCCTGGCCCAAGGCGTCCCTGACCCCAACGCGGCCCCCTCCCCCCGCCCCTCCTCGGCAGGGGGGGCGCTCCTGCCGCAGGCCGCGCCCCGCGGGCCCCGCGAGCGCCGCCATGCCAGCACGCTCGCAGGCCCCGACGGCCGAGTTGCAGGTGACCGCCTCGGCCGCCGCGCACGACGGCGACGCCCCAGTCGGAGCCACGGCGCCGGCGGCGGCATAGCGATGCCGACGGCGACGCTGGCGACGACGCCGACGACGACGAAGGCAGCGACGGTGGCGGCGGCACCGCCGCGACGACGACGACGACGACGACGACGACGACGACGACGACGACGACGACGACGACGACGACGACGACGACGACGACGACGACGGCGGCGGCGGCGGCGGCGGCGGCGGCGGCGGCGGCGGCGGCGGGCGGCGGCGGCAGGCCGGCCGGCGGCGGCCGCGCGGCGGCGGCGGCGGCACGCTGGCGGCGGCGGCGGCCGCCGCGGCGGCCGCGGCCTCCAGAGAGGGCCCCAAAAGAGCCCCAAGAGGGCCCCGAGAGGCCTACAAAGTGTCCCTAGGAAGGCCCCCTCGATGGCCCCAGCGTCGCCACGGCATGACTCATTGGCAAGCGGAGTTTCCCCTCTGGGGGGGCCGCCGTGCTCACGCTCTGCGGGCACAGTACAGCGGGCCCCCCTGCGGGAGCTCAACGGGAGCGGACCCTTGGCTGTACTGAGCAGGCGCTGGTGTGGCAAGGCTGCAAGGATGAAGGCCAGGTCTGCCTAGTTGGACAATCTGGAGGGGCTCCGAAGATGGCTACAAGTCAGTGTCTGGCAAGTGCATGCATGCTGGGGCTGCTGGAGCCTCCAACGAGTCAAGAAACCCTTCGGAGCTTTGCACATCTCGCCAGGTGGCCACAAGAGGGCTCCAGGTCCCAAGAGGGCCTCATGAGACTCCCATGACAGCAAAGATGGGCCAGAAACGGCCCAAGATGGTCGCAAATCGTCCAAAAAGGCTCCCAAGATAGCCCCAGAGCACCTCAAGAGGACCCCCAAGAGTCAAACGGCTGCAAAACACGCCAAAACTCTCCCAGAGCACCCCAAGGGACGCCCACATTGCCCCAGGCGGCCCCAGCACAAACCCCAGAGCGCCGAAAAAGCCACAGAAAGCCTCAAGACATCCCAAAGCCCAGCAATTCCGTGGACGCTCACAGGCTGCAAGATTTGCGTGCCAATGTCCCCCCAACGGCCCCCCCCGTGCAGTCCCGCTCTGCGGCTCAACAGCATCAAAGATCGCTAGACTCTATGGCTTCTGGGTGACCAGGGCCATAAACCGTCAATCCTGGACCTCGGGTCACGACTCGGATTGCCATACCCGACCCAGCCAGGCCAGCCCAGCCATTCAGCCAATAGGCCAGACTAGGCCAGCCGCCTCGGCACCCGCACGCCCACCCGGCCTCCCACTCAGTCAACCAGACAGCCACCAGACCACCCAGCGAGCCAGATAGACCCCCCCCATCATGATCACCATCATCGTCAGCATCAGAGCTGCTGATGACACGATAAGCTGCAGCACCACCGTCGTTCTCATCGCCATCACCGTCACCTGCACCAGCACCACTTCCAGCATCAGCAAATCGCTTTGCACTTTGCCTGTTCCCCTGTTGAGATGAATCTCGAACAACTGCCACAAGACAGCAGTGCACGATCACACTCGGACACACGACACGGTCGTCCTTGCTACGCCTTCTTCTCATGGTCTTCCAGTGCAGGACAAAACGCTGGCGAACAGATTCTTGGTGTAAGGACGACTTGGCCGACCAGGCGCATGGTCACAAGGAGCACGCACAGAGAACAGTATGCGACCCGCCACCAGGTCCACCACAGTGGCCCTTGAGATGGGATGACGAAAGCAAACTGTATGCCGATGGCGATGCCGCAGATGTGGGAAACACTGAAGGTCACCATGTACAGGAGCACCGCAGGCTTCACGGCACCCTTGCCGAAAATGCAGGGGAAGGTCCACAGCCCGTTGTAGAAAAAACTGCTGCACTCGGCCTGGCACGCATTGGCAACCGCATAGCCAAAACCCGCGGGCAGGCTCAGACACGTCGCGAGGCCAACGATTGCTGCAAAATGGTGAACCACGAAGAAGAGCTCAGGCGGATCTGGCATCCAGAAATCTTTCAAGAGAGCACCGGCGATTAAGTTGCAGGTCTGCCTCTCAAGCTCCATGACAGGAGCTATGCTTGAGCTCAAAGCCCACTTCGATGCCGTCATGTCTACGTTCGCCAAGGCCCTCAAAAATATGACTGCGGACATAAAGGTGAGAACGATCTGCTGGATCTGAGATATAGCGGAGGCCTTGAATGAGCAGCCGCTGCCCGATATATGCCTCTCCTCGAATCAGCCGTGCCCTTTGGGGCCACCGAGCGTGCGAGTCGTTCGCTTTATGGACCGCCCCTCACCACGCCCAAAATTGCGCATTCAAGGCGGACCCTTCAACACGGATTCCCCGACCCTCCCCCCTGGCCGGACCCCCACGCCCTTCCCGCCCCCTCTGGGGGACGAGCGGGGGGCCCTCGTATGCGGCGCGAGCCAGACGAATCTGACGAATGATGGAATTGTTGCGAGCGCGGCCCAGGCAAATATGGAAAATACGTTCCATGCCGCGTCCTGCATGGCCATACCACTTCCATGCTTCCATACGACCACGACCGCCACCACATGACCCACGATCAAGATACACCCAGAAATCGTGAACGATACGGGAGAAGTGCGCTCAGGGGCTGACTCCGGCAGCAGATATTTAGGACCATCTCCAGCTACCGTCATAGAAGCTAGCTGAGCCTCAGCAGCGGTGATGCGGCGCTTCAATTTGAAGAGGTGTGAACTTGAACCGAGATCGTTACGGAATGAGCATCCCCGTCGTGGCGCACGGCTTCGACACTAGCAGCTACCAAATTCTGATCTTCAGGTTCTGGTTTTCTGCTGCTGGTCGACGCATCGGCATCTGCTTTTCTGGTTGCTGTGGGGCCCAAAACCTGCTCATCACACATGAAATCCAGCATGAACAAGTTCGAATCGCAAACATCCCAGACAACCCGGCTCCTCAGCCAGTCCAAACAGCACGGCCACCCTGGACAGCCCCAGGCAGACTAGCGTGACGCCCAGATGACCGATGTGACATCCCGACAGCACCGATGTGACACTCCAACAGCCAACGATGACATCTACAAGCCCAGTTGGGACGTCCACGCACACGCATACGGACACACACACAGATGCACACACACACACACACAGATATATACACACACACGCAAAACAAAAAAACACAGCCACCCACACACTTCTTCAGTCGGCGACGCAGAGGGTCCTCAACCGCGTGCAGCAGATGGAAGTACGAATTGCGATCGAGCACCGAATTCACCCACGCCCACACACATACACCTAAACACACGCCCGTTTGAAGAAACGCCTCCGTCGCGAATGTCTTCTCGATCGTCCCCCGTCCCCCTCCGGAGGCCGCCCGAATGGGGTCGGAGCAGATGCGGCCGGGGGGATCGCACCGCATCTGTGATGCATCGCCGATGCACCGGCGACCTCGGGACGGCCAAACAGCCGGACCCTGCATCGCGCCGCATCGTCGACGCAGCGGCGACGCGGCGCGACCCTCTGGCCTCACCTCTCTTCTGTCCCCGTCTGGGAGGCCTGCACCCTCGGGCCCCGCCTTGTAGACCTCGCCTCCCTCGCCCCCTCCCCCCCATCCTGCTCGGAGGCTGTCCGAGGTGATCCTGGCGGAGAGGTGCCCCCAGCTTCTCGAACAGGTCTTGGGGCCTCCGTCGGGGTTCTCTCCGGGGGGCTCTCCGGGGGGCCCCATGGCACATGTCGCGAAGGCCGCCTTTGCCATGAAGGGAGCGGTCCCGAGGGGAACG